CAGACTTGTCCAGAAACTGCATCTGAGATCGGTCAGTTTCCACAGGGAAGTTTTAGGTGGTGGACCACTACCACACACACTACCATGTCAGTGTCTCTGCTGTGTTGAGAATGATCCACAACACACAGCGGTCCTGTGGCTAGAAACTGACCATTGACGAAAGGAGAATGGGTGGCTGACAAATTGTGCACAATAACATTTTCTACTGTAGAGTCAAATGGTTCCCGGGGGGCCGTACTGTGCGCTGAAACAGACTTCTAAGACCAGTTACTGTTTCTTTTTCCATGCTAAATCAGAACTAGGATATACTGAAGAAAACTACACAAAAGAGTGTCTAACTGCTAACAGTCAAATACTTGTGCACACACACAAAATACGTTCAATTTCAGCTGTCACTGCAACACCAGTCTCTACATGTTCTCAGATTGTTTATCCTCTAAGTGGGTTTTATTTAAGCATGATTTACTGAAACTGAGCCTGTGCTGTAGTGGATTGCACTTGTAGCCAGCTAACTACGCTAGCAGTAGTTTATCCCCTAAGGGTCATCTTATTTTATCGTTTTTCTTCCACAAGTGGACAATAAGGATACAGTCTCAAGATTAAACTTCACAATGGAGGCTACAGTTGATCAGATTTAAAAGTAAATATATTTTTTTAAAGGTACCAAAAATTGGGTCACTTTTGTTTCCTGAAAGAACATTTTCACAGCATGTTTTATTTAAAAAAAAAAAGTTCTTTAGGGAACCAAAACTGATTCCCTTTTGGACACCTTCGTTTTAAAGAATGTAGATGAAGATCAGATCATATTTCAGAAGCCATTCATGCACAAACCCATATAATAAGTTTACAGACTTTTTCTCATAACTGAACACAGCAAGGAAGTACAAACTCTGGAGGAGTTGATTTAAGATTGGTGATTGGGCACAGTCTAGCTCATACAGCTTTGCACTGCCAATTTTTCAATCCAAGACCCCCAGCCATGGGCAGCATATGGCACAGCTGGGTATCAAACCTGAGTAGCAGTGGTAGGTCTTACTTCCGAAGCAGTACTTGAGGCAGTAATGCTACCACTTGCTAGGAATGCTAAAGTATGTATCAGATTTTTTTTAAATTTTGATGTCATTAAATCATTACGATGTAAACAAAGTTCATTCAGATCGGGTATGATGTGAAATGTGAAACTCACTAAATTCGAACTGTTCTCAACAGTGTCTTAAGTGTTTCATGACTTCTTCACAGAAAGGTGTCCCATGAAATGGTTACAAATACACTACCTGATGCCTGAGACATTGTTTATGATGGTTTTGAGATAGGATTTTGACCTAAAACGTATTTATTAAAGGACATTCCTGGCAGAGATGCAGGGCATTGTAAAGCAAAGTATAACATTTTTTTCAATTGAAAATTAAAAAATAATAATTTTCATTATTTCATCATTATCTAAAGATCAGAAGACTGTCACAAACTACCCCCTCCTGGGCCGGTGCAGTATTTTTTCCTTTGTTTTTTTTTACTTTCCAGCTCCACCCTGCAGTTATTATTTCATTACCAAGGCAGCTTATCGGCAAGCTATCAAGCTTCTCAAGCCTATGTGAAGGTATGTCCTTACATAGAACTGTGCAGTGCTGTTTAAAGCTACGCTATGTAAGTTATGGGGGTTTGGAGACGTCTTTGGCAGAAATGTGTCATTGCACACAAAGTGCAGAAGAACATTCTGTAACATCGGTTGTGGTTCAGACCCCTTCCTGAAGCAGATGAATCTGATGATTGCAAGTGTGTTTTGAAAGATTATTTAAAGAGGAACTTGGTGAAGGACGTGTCTTACAAGGATGTAAGTGAATGATCTATTATTGTCAACACATCTTCATCAGTATGATGAATTTGAATTTGAGTCAGACCTTCTTTTTAAGCCTGTGGGTGTGATATAAATATGTAAAGACGTATGGCAAGGTCTGAAAAACACCACAAAATCTGACCTGACACTTCTGACTTCTAAATGACGATTATTTCAGGCTTTGCAGGGAGACATGCAGCAGTACAAGGACAACATATTTTAGCGTGTTTTTTCTCTTGACTCAGTAACACTACATCTTTCGTACACAGTGCAGCTTTAAAGTATCTAGTGACATGTTGTCTCCTGAGGAGAAAGAAAAGAAAGGCCTTTTCATTCTGTACCCCCAAAAAGTGGATCTTCCGAGGGTTTAATATACTGACGCAACTTGATGTGACTCTGTAACCCTGTGAGACCCAGCGAGGGCCACAGAGAGTGCTGGATTTGGCAATTACAGGGAGCACTCTGACTTGGCTGGAATCCCCACATGAGTCTCTGAGTGTGATGGAACTGTGCCCAGTGACTCAACCTCTAAGTGTGTGCCAAAGCCCACAAACAGCAGCTATATCATTCATTATTCTCACTTCACTCAGATCCAAATAACCAGATTAGATGGGCTCTGATACAAACACCCAGTCAGTTAATGTATTATCTGTCTTGATAAAAAAATCCCCCTTGTTCCCAATTAGTTCGCTTCACTGTCTAAATGTTGTGAAAACCTTGCATTAGGTCCTTGCATTATTGAAAATACTGCAAATGTGTGTTGGGATGACATGTTTTCTACAGTATTGATGTCTTTGCTGAGGGGATTGATTCTTTCTCTAGACATGGACTGCAAAATTAGCTTTAAAAAAGAAGGAATCTAACTTTTTAACAGGTTTTCATGTATTTTTATATTTTTCCTGTCAATTTAGTTTTAGTCAACTCCCAAGACTAGCCTCAATCTGTAAAGTAGAATCAATGATTAAGTCTTAATTAAGTCTTACAATGATTGTCATAATTAAATCATACAGATTTGTGGAATGATCTAGAATGAATGTCTCCTAAAATGTGATCATTTAAGATGTCAAAATGAACATCTAGTTTAAAGCCATCTTGTGTTCCAATAAAGTGGGTTTAAAATGGACATTATCGTCAATAAAGGAAGGTTCACTGGTTTCTAAATCTAGATGCCTGTGTACTTTTTCTATCAGTTGTCTTGTTTTTTAGATGCGAAGTACCTCACGGACATGGCTTGTATTTCTTCACTAATTGACTAACTCACTCAGGCTGAAGATTCTTCGGAAGGGGGCACCACTCGCCCTCAAGTAGATCTTGGTGTTTAACATAAGTGGTACTTCATATCGGTTACACTGTGTGTCCTTATTTCAACATTTTGTTCATGAAAGATAAGACACTGTCAAATATTTTATGTGGTTCTTTTTAAATAAGACTTAATAAGATTTACTTTCTTAAAATTAAAGAGTTTTTATGTAATGATGCTATTGTAGGACCACTTTTGGTTCCCAAAATAGCCTTTCAGTAGCTGTTTCTTTAAAAAAAAAAAACTGAAGTGAAAGCATTAGCAAGCCAAAAGTTGTTCTTCTTTGGCTCTGGAGAACATTTTTGGAAACCTTTATTTTTTACTAATGTAGTTGAAGATCAGATCACATTTTAGAAACCATTCAAGCATGAAGCCCATATCGTTCCAAAAGGTTCACAAACTCAGCAAGCTCAGCGAGGATAACACAAACTCTGAAGGAGCTGATTTAAGATTGGTGATTGGGCACAGTCTAGCACTTGCAGCTTTCCATTGCCAATATTTTAGGCCAAGCACCCCTAGCCATGGACAGCATATGACACAGCTGGGTATCAAACCTGAGTAGCAGCAGTACGGCGCACTTCTGGGCAGAATGCTAAAATATGTTTTAAAGGTGAATCTGCTCAATGGTTCTTGTGCTGAGACACAGTAAATTGCTCCCTGCATGCTGTACTATGAAGTAATTCATGGTGGGAAGGGATTCGTATGGGTTGTATTTAATTTGTCCAGCCATGTAGGACAGCAGAGGGAGCCTGAGGCTAATAACAGTTTCAGCAAAGAATGCCTTAACTTTTACCAACTTCATACAGAGAGTTTATAAATCTAGGGTACTTTGCCTTCACTGTAGCCATTTGGCTTCCTGCTGCTCATTTCATTTCAGATTAGGGACAGTCATTCAGGCTCTTAGTAGATCACTGCACTTCGCTTGCAAATGTAATGCAAGCAAAATTTTGCTGATGCTTTTGCAGAATCTCCTATCCTGTTTGTCTTTGAATATCCATCTTTGTGATAGTATCAGCGTGATGCTGAGATAAGCTCAGAAGCGATGGATTCAAGTGCCATTAGACGCAGCGCTGGCTGCTGAGATGTGTTTTGTGGTGCCTTTATACCTGGAATTAACGTTACATAAGAAGCTGAGACGCTATGTGTAATTCATCAATAGGCCTATTCCATCCGCTTAGCCACACTATCGCTTTGGAAAGAAGAGTGAGGAATATAAACAGTGTATTAGCGTAGGACAATGGCTCTTTCAGCTCCCATCTCTTTCTGAATTCAATGTCATCTGCTGTTCTGCTGGCACGACAGATATCTCCTCCTTTTATGTAATCGGAAGGTCGCGCACAATCTACCAGCTTTAATTTATTCAAAGTGAAATGACATTCTCAGTCTGTGCAGGCAGGCGCGAACACACACTCGCACACAGACTTCCTGCAGGCGTTTCTGAAATGGTTTCCAGGCACATCCTCTTGTCTGCTTGTATTATTCCATAGGTTTGATGAGTTCAGTATGTGCAGGGAGGTGAGTCATTAGCGCATGATACACGTAAACCGCAACATGCGTTCACTCACGCAACATCGGCCACTGTTTCAGCGGTTTGCCTGACCAAGGTCTGAGTACAAAGCTCAGAAATGAATTAGATGTTGATACAAATCCCTTTTGTCAACAGCTCTTGCCATGAAGTGGACTATTTCTATGCTAATGTACATATCATGCAGTTTTTCAAGGGATAACATGTAGAGTGCACAGCTGTTCTAATTACACACCACCCCCTCTCTCCATTTCTCTCCCTTCATGGTCCCCACCCCCATGCTGTTTCTCTCTTTCTGTCTCTCTTTTTCCATCTATTCCCTCTTTCTCTCCTCTCTGTAGGTGTGTGGTAGACTGATCCCTCCTGAGTGAGGTGGTGGGGTGCTCATGGCTGCCGCACAGGGCCTGGGCTGGCTGGGCTTGAGCCTGGCTCTGCTGGCCCTCAGCGCGGTGTGCCAGAGCTGCCCGCCACGCTGCGACTGTGTGGCTCAGCTGCGCTCTGTGTCCTGCCAGCGCAAGCGCCTGTCCGGCGTGCCCGAGGGCATCCCCACGGAGACAAGGCTGCTGGACCTCAGTCGGAACCGGCTGCGCTGGGTGTCGCCGGGAGACCTGGCGCCGTACCCACGGCTGGAGGAAGTAGACCTGAGCGAGAACCTCATCTCTACACTGGAGCCCAATGCCTTTGCCAGTCTTCAGGCCCTGCGCACGCTGCGTCTCCGTGGGAATCAGCTGAAGCTGGTGCCCATGGGTGCCTTCGCTCGCCTATCGAACCTCACCACCCTAGATCTGAGCGAGAACAAGATTGTCATCCTACTGGACTACACTTTTCAGGATTTGCGCAGCCTCAAACACCTGGAGGTAAGAATGATGAATAGACTGATGAGAGAATGGGGGAATTGCTGTATCATGGGAAAAAAAAATTGAAAAATGTTGTTTAAAAAAACTAATTCAAAGAACAAATGAATCTAAATGAATCTAATCTTCGTCCAGTATTTTCTTACTTACTTACTTCTTTTACTTATATTGAGTGTTTTGTTCCATCCATTCTTACAGGTTGGTGACAATGACTTGGTCTACATCTCCCACAAGGCTTTTACAGGGTTGCTGGGTCTAGAGGACCTGACGATAGAAAGATGCAACTTGACTTCCATCTCTGGCCAAACACTGTCCTACTTACGCAACCTGGTCACCCTTCGACTACGTCACCTTAGCATCTCCTCCCTTGAGGACCAAAATTTCCGTAAGCTATCTGCTCTCAGGGGACTAGAGATTGACAACTGGCCATACCTGGAGTACATCTCCCCACTTTGCTTCCAAGGCCTAAACTTGTCTTGGCTGTCCATCACTTACACCAACATCACTGCTGTTCCTTCTGCTTCTTTCCGCAACCTTGCTTACCTGACATCTCTTAATCTGTCCTACAATCCTATATCTGTGCTGGAACCATGGGCATTCAAGGATCTGATAAGGCTGAAAGAGCTGCACATGGTCAGCACTAACCTGCAGACTGTGGAGCCTCATGCGCTGGGTGGTCTGAGACAGATCCGAGTGCTCAACCTGTCCAACAATGAGCTGATCACTCTGGAGGAGCGCTCCTTCCATTCCGTCAACAGCCTTGAGACTTTGCGAGTTGATGGGAACCCTCTTTCTTGTGATTGTCGGCTTCTCTGGATCCTGCAACGCAGACGTACCCTGAACTTCGATGGCAAGATGCCTGTGTGTGCTGGGCCACCTGAAGTACAGGGCAACATGCTGAGTAGTTTCACGGATTCAGCACTGTTTGATTACTTTACCTGTCAGAAGCCCAAGATACGTAACCGAAAGCTTCAGCAAGTGACGGCACGTGAGGGCCAGTCAGTATCCTTCTTGTGCCGTGCTGAGGGTGAACCAGCACCTGCCATCATCTGGATTTCACCGCAGCGGAGAAGAATCACTTCAAAAAGCAGTGGCAGGATCACAGTCCTGCCAGGCGGAACTCTGGAGATCCGTTACGCCCAGGTGACCGACAGCGGCACATACATCTGCATTGCCAGCAACGCAGGTGGCAACGACACCTACTTCGCAACACTGACGGTGAAAGGACAGCCACTGGACTCGGCACTGTTTGCCAACCGCTCACTGTATGCGGTGGACTTTAACGACACGGGTCTGAACAGCACACGTGTCTTCCTTAAGTTCACTCTGGACCTCACCACCATCTTGGTGTCCACAGCCATGGGCTGCATCACCTTCCTGGGTGTGGTGCTCTTCTGTTTCCTGCTGTTGTTCGTGTGGAGCCGCGGAAGGGGCCAACGCAAGAACAACTTCACAGTGGAGTACTCCTTCAGGAAGACGGAGGGCCCCACTACTAGTGGGACCTCCGGAGGGACCCGCAAGTTTAACATGAAGATGATATGAAACAACGCAGCCAGGGGCCCCCTGGGGGAGGCATGAACACCCAACACAAACACACAGCGCTGACTCGCAGAACCACACGCAGCAGAAACAAAACATCAAGAAGATCCTAGGTCAAGATTTGATCTTAGGGACTGATGTGGTTAAGCTTACTTTGATCTCACTGCCTTCGGAAAAGGTATTAATACTTTGATTGCAGCTGATTGTACCGTATATGTGGCAGTAAGTCACATTTTATAAATTGTTTGGATATTTGGTAATCTTTGAATTCTAAGCTAAATGATAAGTTTCCTTTCCCTAAGCTTCATTTGCTTGAGTGGTTGGTTGCCACTGTTCCACAGTTTTTAAGATACAATATTCTGTTATTGCTGATGACAATTTTGTGAATGCACAATCTGAACAGCAATTCTGAGGAACAGGGCCACCAACTAAACATAAAGCTGTATTCATAAATTTTAAATATAGTAGCTTAAGAAAAATGGCATGCAGATGTACTGCTTAGAAATTCCAATTTTGAAAATAATCAGTTCATAATTAAAAAGTTTTCCATTAATGTTTTCAAAATTTAACCCCCACCTTGAACATCATTTCACAGCTGAAAGAAGTTAAGACCAGAGCCTAATGAGAACCTAATGGTTTGATTACAAACAAAATTGGCATTAAAGCATTAGTCTTAATGACAAAATAATAGAAAAGTAATGCACCACAAGCCACTGACTCATCATTTACAACAACAAGCTTGACATTGTGTTGTGTCTGCGATTAGGTGCTGTGTGAGTTGGGGCAAGCACACTGGCCGCAACACTGTGACTGCACTGCTGCTAATGCCGTGGTACTCTTATAGCAGCACTGCATCACAGTGGGTATAAACTAACGTGCAACCAGGACCTCAGGGTCTGGTTAGGAAGCCAAGCCGTGGGTACTGGCTGCACAATTAGTGGATGTACAGTGCTTAGACCGGAGTGGTGGAGGGCTGGTATGGGGGACTTGATTACTTCATATCCTCTCCACCACCAGGCCTAAGCACAGGCCGACGACCCATAAGCCTTCATGGGGGGAGGCTTCCCAGGGCGTCAGGGCCATTTGATGTCAGACGCATGGTGTACACATACATGAAAACACATGCAAACATACACTCAAGCCATATGCATTTACTGTCAGGCACAGCTCAACAGAACAATTATAGCTTTATTTATTTACAATGATGAGCAAACGCATAGTGCTATGCAGGGAAAGATGTGACATGCACACAAGCTTTCCTCACCACACTGGAGCATGATTGCATTTCAGCTAATTGTAAAATAATAATGTAACCAGAGCACATTTTATTTTTCTATTATATCATTGTACAGACTTTTGTGTTTGATTAACTGACTTAGCAATTAATTAATTATTATGTTAATTGAAATGCATGTTTTGTTCATGGTTGTTGCCTTAGCCTCGCCATGCACATTCATTTAATTATGTTAATTGCTTTTTTTTTTTTTTCTTTTTTTTTGCAGGCACTGGCAGTATTAGCATCAAGTGTAATAACAAATTATATTGTTTATTGCTGAGAGTTTTTACTGGGTTGATAACGTTATGAAAGCATAGTCAGGTAGAGCCAGTTGGAACAGTGCTTTGAAGATAAGAATGAGCATACATAGCAGCACTATAAACATGTCATAACACCATTTGTAGCCTTTTAATGTCATCATTAGTTGACTTAAGGCTCAGTGGTGTAGAGAATTTTCATTTCACATAGCCTCCAACAGATACTTCTTATATGTCACTAAATGCATTATAACACACACAAAACATATATGAGAAGGGGTGCTTGGTGACATCACCACCGCCCCAGTCTCTGTTCACTTTCTCTGACACTATTGGCGGCCCGTGTGCGAAAGTCTCTGCTTCTCCTGCCCAGTCTTCACCCCCCATTAATCCCCATTCCCCACACCCGGACTGGGTCTCAATGAGGGAGGGGTCCCTGGCTGGTGACCACGGATGTAAATGAAAATCATGACACCCATCTAGCCCATGTGTATTTGACTGTAGAAGGTATTATCTCTTTATATGTTTAGTTTTGGTATGTATTTTGTACTTAATTTTAATGGATTTATTTTATTAATGTTTTGAAATCGCCAGTTTTTAGCCAGATTTTATGTTGATGAATTATCTGTTCTCAATACTAAACTGTTACCACATAAAGGTTTGGGGAATTGATAAGAAGAGGAGTAAAATGTGATATTATATCAAGACTGCTCAAGTGCTGCCTTCACATGCTGAGGAAATGATGAATACCCCCTAATCGCCAATCAGAGTTGTGCATGAACCAATCATAGTTACAGAAACCTTTGAATTAATTGTGAAACACAACTCTCATCATGGGACGTCTTTCATTATCAGTGGTTAATGGGGAGGGGGGGTTTCCTTGTTTTTCTAAACACAACTTACATTATATGTCCAAAAGTTTGTAGACACCTGCTAATCGAGTATTTCTTCTGAAATTAAATATATTAATAGGGAATTTGTCTTCCTTTGCGTCTACTCTTATGGAAAGGCTTTATGCTAGATGTTGGAACATTACTGTGAAATGCATTCAGCCACAAGATTAGTTGGATTAGTGCTGGATAACAAATGCCACTCCAGCTCATCCCAGAGGTGTGGAATGGAGCCCCATTACTCCAGAGAATACAGTTCCACTGCTCCACAGCCCAATACTGCGAGGCTTTATACCTCTCTAGCTGACATTCTGCATTGGGCCTGGTATTCTTAGGCTCATGTTCAGCTGCTCCAGAGCATCCCATTGAATTGGTCAATGCTTTATACAAGCTGTATGTGCATGATTGAAAGCTTGTGTCAGCCATGGGTGTAGCTGGAAGTATAGCTGAATTCACTCATTAAAAGAGCTGTCTGGATACTTTTGGATATACAGTGTACTTTAAGTAGTCACCATTTAAGCCGTGGGTTTTTGCTTACATGCTTAACTGCTGGTTACATGGTGCAGATTTTTACAAAGGGGAAGAAACATTAGATACTAAAATAGCTCAAGCTAGCTAACTAGCTAACTATGTTTTCAGCTACAAATCACTTGACAATAAAGACCACCCACCCACCCTTTTCAATACCGTTATTAATAAGCCCTCGTCAATTTAGCCTCACCATTTTCCCTTGGGGAATCCCCAGCACCACCGTAATGGCCATTCGATTACTTTATTAGCACGAGTGAAGTTTATTAGGTAAGCTGTCTGAAGGAGGAGGGATTGAGTGAACACAAATGTTGAATTCAGCAGCAGAACTTGCCAACAATTCATTGAAACGCATGACGTTTTTCCTTTTTCGAAAGTGAAGATGTGGTAGACAAAGCTCTTTTTAAGCCATAGCAATAAAATACTTTTAAAATGCTTAATCAAAACATTTGTTTCGCTCAGTTTAAAATGGGTTTTAGGTAGTAAACTTATCCAACTGTTATACATGACTTCTAATACAACTTAATTACTTTACTCTGCTAATTTGCTAGTTCGAAAGCTAAAGGCTTCACAGTTAGCATCAACAAAAAAGAAAGGCAATACAACAAGGCTGACAGACAGACAAAGCAGTCATTCACAGAATATACGAACATTCTGTTCAGACTTCTTAAAAAAATGTTCTGCATGACAAAGTTTGCATGGCTAGCTAATTAGCTCACTGAGGCTAACCCTGTCCTAGAAGTGTAAGGGTGTTCAGATTAAATAATCTGCTCCTTTTTGTCACCTCTTCCCCTTTTGATATGAGTAGCCACTTAAGTAACGTAGGGGAGTAACTGGGGAGTCGAAGTTGGCGAGGGCATGTTGAAAAATGTATTGAAACAAGGCAATCGGGAAATGTCATTCCATGAGCAGGTGAAGGCCGCATAAATTAGAATGGACTAAGGCCATGAGCCTTGCTGTGGTGCGCTCCCTACTGGCAAACACTGAAAGGTGATGACCCCTTAACATCAAGTCAACGACGAACTTCAGCTGACTTTGCTAAACACGTTTTGAATTTGATATTTCAGTCCTGCATGTAGGTACTGAAAAATCCAGCCAGGGAGCTGGTGTTGAGAACAGATTGACAAACCAAAGAGCCACGGGTATACCGATGATGATGATTCTAGGTAAACATATCACTCTTTTTGGTGCCCACCCCCTTTCTTCATTTTTTTTTCTCATTTGTAACCTAGTTAAGTGTTCTCAGACCTCACCGACATCATCAGCAGTGAAGTAGGGTGGAGTGTGCTTGTCGTGAGTACAGTCGATGTTGTCCTTGTGGCCTGTGACTCAGTGTTGTTTGTTCGGTTGGTTGTTCAAGTTCGTTTTCTAGTTTCTTAGCTCTTTCTGTTAGCGTTAGCTCCTTAGCCGTGCAGTCAGTCACTGTGTGTAGGTGTGGTGGTAAAGGGAGAGAAAGGAGGCTCAGCCGGGATGTGAAGCCACGCCCTCCCGGCATCACTTCTTATGGACACTTCTTTCCCACAGCGGCATCCAGGGACTCTGTAGCAACTGGAATGCTACATTTCTGTCACACCTGTATCGATTTCCTATTCACACTTCAGAAAATAGAACACAGTGCGAAATATTTGAAGCAGACCGCTCTAGATTGGTAAGCTTGGTGAATTCAACAGCTCTAAGGGAGATAATTGTGGGTTTTAATGCAGTACGACAGCGAGGATTTTTTTAGCATGCTAGCATGATGTGTTCCCTCTTCTGAAGTGATGCATATGCACCATGAAAAAAACATGTAATGTCACACGGTTATTTAAGATCGGATGTGTTTGATCATATATGAAATTATCCTTAAATGCAAAACATTTGGTCTGCTAAAAGACAGGTACATTCATGGGCTAGGAGAAACCGTGACGATCCGAACGCTGTTCTGACAGAGCAATATCCTCCTCCGAGTGTTCAACGGTTTTCAGTTTTCATAAAACGCATTCAGTTGAGCTGTTCCATTTCTGTCACTGACTCTGTTCTGCCCCCTACCGAGAGTGTGTTTGACTGACAGACAGGAATCCCTTTGACCTCCATTCCTCTCTTTTTTCCCCTCTCTTTTCCCTCTCTCTCTCTCTCTAGCTCTCTCTCTCTCTTTCTGTTTCCACTCTCTGTCTCTGAGGACTGAAGCTCTGACACCTGCCTCCCAGACACACATTTTGCAGCAATAACCAAAGATGTAGGCTATAGAGGAGCTGAAGGACTTCCAAATGTTCCACTGGTTGAGTTTGGAAACTATTCTGAACCAGACACCTCACTCAATATATTATTATTGATATTAAATCTGACCAAACTGGTAAAAGAATGTCTGTAGTTGGGAAATGGCTACATCTATTTGGAATGAAAAATTCACAATATATTAAACAATTAAAGAACTGCTCAGAGAAAAATTGATCATTTTATGTATCATTTTCTGTTATCAACTCCAAACTGTACCAGAATTCAGTGTGTTTCCAGTTTATTAGCTACACCTACTTTTACCTGCACTCATTGACCATTTTATCAGAAACATCAAG